GTGCTTTATACGAACATGTTTTTGTTGTTTAAGGTGTTTTTCGTTTTTTGCTTTTTACGTTTGTTTAAGTAATTTCTACCCCAACGTGGGTCTTGAACTCATGACCCTGAGACTGAGTCACGTGCTCCACCAGCTGAGCCATCCAGGTGCCCCTCTAGTTGCATTTATTAAAGAGACTTTGTTTTCCCTATTGAAATGGTTTTAGTGGTCTCATTTGAATATCTTTGACCAAAAATGTGTAGGTCTCTTCCTATACTTTCTCATCTGTTGCATTGATCTATTTGCTTATTGTTCTTTGTCTCCCCAGCATCAGTTGAAGGCCCAACAAATAGTCAGTGAGTAAAAAAACTTAACAGTTGAACTGAGAAAGAAAGAAGGCAACAGCCTTTGCTGGGCCATTCTTAGGAAATTGTATTCTTAAAATAGCCACTGAAGTAAGTTACTAGGAAGTCCATGGTTTCCCAGTTAGCACTCAAGACAGATATGCTTAGTTGTTGAGGTATTGTTTATACCAGAAAAGAATTTCTTGTTAATACGGTTGTACAAGTAGTTTCAGAAGCATAATTTAAGCTACAAGTGTTTATAACACATTGTAGGAACTGAATATCTGCTAGTTAATTTCTAGTTAATTTTTTTTGTAGCTATGACCGCTCATGGCGCTTATGGGATTTAGAGGCTCAAGAGGAGATCCTGCATCAGGAAGGCCACAGCATGGGCGTGTATGACATCGCCTTCCATCAGGATGGCTCTTTGGCTGGCACTGGGTAAGCCCTTTTCCACATAGCCAGGGGCAGCTCAGTGGTTCACCTCTTACGTATGCTTGCTTCCACGGAGAAATGGATTCAGAGTGTTCATCTATAAATTCTTTTGTCAGGGGACTGGATGCATTTGGTCGTGTTTGGGACCTGCGTACAGGACGGTGTATCATGTTCCTAGAAGGCCACCTGAAGGAAATCTATGGAATAAATTTCTCCCCCAATGGGTAAAATAAACTCATTGAATGACGGGTGGGAAGGTTATTGGTCAGAATGTATCTTTGTTTCTGACTTCGATACTACACCTGATCCACAGCTACCACATTGCAACCGGCAGCGGTGACAACACCTGCAAAGTGTGGGACCTCCGACAGCGGCGCTGTGTCTATACCATCCCCGCCCATCAGAACTTAGTGACCGGTGTCAAGTTTGAGCGTAAGTTTTCCTCCCGGTTTGCCCGTTCACAGGACAGGCAGATTGTACTTCACGGAATGCAGGCTAGGCTTTGGCTTCACTCGGAAGTGTGACAGGAGAGGATTTGGCCTCTGGTGAAGAAGGCCAAATTCTAATTTCCTTCGCCGTAGCGTATTTTCAGACACAGCTCTGGCACAGCTTGCTTCTTGTTTCAGGAAGTAAAGAAGACTTTCATAAATGTTTGAGTCATTTTTTTTTTCCATGAAAGTTGTAAGCACTGAATCCTTAATATTACTGTGAACAGATTGTCAGGGAAAAAGCCAGAAGAACTTAATAATGTTACTTGTTTCCCTAAGTCTGCTTGTAGTCCCTTTTTCCTGGAGGCCTTATAGGAATGTAGATGAGAATGTTGGACTTTTCCAAATGGGGAAATCCCTTCTTTTTCAAAATCATGTGTTCTAGCAGATTTTTGTGCTTTTATTTTCTTTGCTCTTTTGATATGTGAATTCCTCAAGCAGCTCCCCTTTTCTCTTAAAGCTATCCATGGGAATTTCTTGCTCACTGGTGCTTACGACAACACAGCCAAGATCTGGACACACCCAGGCTGGTCCCCACTGAAGACTTTGGCTGGCCATGAAGGCAAAGTGATGGGCCTAGACATTTCTTCCGATGGGCAGCTCATAGCCACTTGCTCTTATGACAGGACCTTCAAGCTCTGGATGGCTGAATAGGCAGGACCGTGGAAAAAGGACTCTAACCTCAAGCTCTCCCTTAAGAACCATTTTCAAAAGAAAGGGATTGATTTTTTTTGTCCTATCACGTTTTTTGCCAGTTATCGTGTGTAGACCCTCTAAAGAATTGGATCTCTGGGCCTCCCTCCACTCCAGGTAGGCAGCCAAGTCTCTGGGTGTTGATGAGCCCATTTCATAGTTGAAATTTTAATTTTCATCTTCAAGCCCTGCCATGGACTGCGTAGACATTGTTTTTGTTAAATCTTTTGTTTGAATGCCTTGTTGCCTCCTTCACAGCACTCAGGATTGTGACTGGTTCCATTTTTAATTTTGAAACTTGGCTTTCCATTACATGGTACATGCTTCAGGACTACATGTGACCCACAGAGCAAGGTGGCTGGCCCGTAGTCTGGAAGCCCTCAACTTAAGAGGCACTTCTCACCACACACTGGTTAACCGATGCCTGACAGTGGAACCTTTCCTCTACCTTCAGAAGGGAGATGAAGAGGTAGACCACAGCTGTACTCAGAGCAATGCAGCAAAGAAGATTTTACCTCTTCCTGTTGAGTTCAAATGGGATGCTCACTGCAACAGGAAGCTCAGAACTGAACATTGGCCCTGTCAGAAAATATCCTCCATTTTGCTCTGAAGTTTGGCATCCTTCGTGTCAGCCCAAAGCTAGGCCATCGTGTCAAGATGCAGTGAAACTTGTAGGACGCAAACGTGAAGTCTGTGTTGTGCCACCTCCTCTGTGTTGGTTAGAGGATGCACCCTGTGTGTCCAGGTGACTGGAAAAAACCCTAGTGGGCATTCCTGGACATAAACCTTTTTCTTTTTTTTCTTTATTACACACTTGCTAGAGAGTAAAATTCTGTCATAAAAACTGTCCTTTAAAAACTTATTTTGTATCGTTAAGCATTTTCTGAATCGCAGCCATCGGTCCATAGAAACCCCCCCGCCTTTTTTTGTTGTTGTTTTTGGTTTGAGATACAACGGATGATATTAAATATGGCTTATTCCAGTTCCAGTCTCCTTATAGTTTTTCATAGAGACTGTTGGACTGTGGGCCAGACTAGCGGTGAGGCGTGTCTGGACTCTGTCATTCGTGCTCCTTGGTCCTGCAGTGGTTACCTTCACCTCTGTCCATCCCAGATGTCCAGCCACTGAGCACTGGGAGGACACGGTCCATTCTCACAAAATACAGGAATTGGGAAGAAGAAAGGCATTTGAGAAGGGCTTCTATGATGGCTTTTCCTTAAATGTTGAAAACACTTTCATTTGCAGTTCCAGAGAGCTTGACAGTGGCTTTGTCTAATTCTCCTTGGCAAACTGTGAGTGTGTGATGATATAGCTAAATATTCTGTTTCATTTAATTTTAATTATAACCAGATAGTTGCATCTTTTGAGTACCTGTTAAGCTTCTGAATTACCAGCTCTACCCCCTCTTGGGCACTTGGCATTTCACTATTATTTAAGTATTAATGGGCTCTAGTTTCCTCCATAGTTGGGCATGAAAAATAATTCTTTGTTACTACTTTTGTAGTATGCATGCATGAACTAATAGTGAACGTTAGTGTTTTAGCATGCAATTTGGATATAGTGTGTTAACAAAGGTTTTTCGTTTTTCAAATTTGAATTTTACTATTAGTGCCGTTAAACTTTTTTTTTTTTTTTTTTTTTTTTGGTTGTTCCAAGAGATGTAGAGGTAGCAGTTGGGTGAGCACATTTTCACGTAAGCCTTTGGCAAAACAGTTACCTTGTGGAATATACATTTGTGCTTTGGAAATATTGTAAGGAAACAGCTGAGGAGCATAAACCAAATGTAGCATTTCATAGTAACGGTGAGATAAATATGAGAGCCACCACTTAAAGGACCTAACTTACTGCCTAGAGACTGTGCCAGGCATGTTCAGACACCTCATTTAATCCTCCCAATCTTCTGAATTATTCTCCTTTGATAGAGCTGAAGCTCAGAGAAGTAACTTGCTCAAGGTTACCCCATCAGTGAGTGGTGGAGCCTGGCCTGTCTTCTGTGACCTTATGAAGAGCTTTCATAGGGCTATTGAGTATGTTGGCACCGCTGGTCAGACAGAATGACCAGTCTGGTCAGCGTGGCCTATTTCCTGTACACATTTTAGCCACTCTACCCTTTATACCTCCCTTTTGATGAGTCGCTGCATCTCTGCGTCTGACTTCATGCCAAAGGGAATTACGGTAATTTCACCACTTCTGCCTCATGAACTAATGAAGCACCTATAGTGTCGACAGGAAACTGTCTTGGGGTAGATATCTTGTTGTGTAGAACTTTCTTAAACATTGCAGCGAGTCTTAGCATCCCTGGCCTGCGGAGTGCTAAAAGCCAGAAGCACAACCCACCCCCTTCGTTGGACTAGCAAAATGCTTCCAAACATTTCTGCGTGCCCCAAGTTTAGAACTACTGAGTGTGAAAATAGAAGACGCCCTCATGTTAAATATACCCCTCCCTACCCAAAAAACTCAGATCTACATTTTTCCTTATGTGGATGGTCTATCAGCCACCGCAAGAGCCGCTGCAATTCTATTTTGACTAAAAGGCTTCACCACTTAACTAGCTGGGCGACCTTGAACTAGGTAGCTAAACTTGCGGAGCCTCAGTTTCATCTGTAAAATAGGGATGAGGCTTCCCTCACTCGGAGCAGTAAGCTCCAGTGCAGAGCAGTCGTTCTGGGCTTCCGCCCCCCACCAGCTGCTGTCCCTTTTCTCATGACTCAGAGAACACGGGAGATCACTGCCTGATTTACCTGTCACAAGGTTAAGGAGCAAGGACGTGTAAAGAAATGAAGTCAGTGGGGAGAGGTTGAGTCCCAGCTTCAGTGCAATTATCTTTGATGGCACGAATGGAGAGGTAGGTGCTAGTCCCCTGGTGGGTTACGTAGTGGCTTTCCCATTTTGTAATGGAGAATTTTCACCTTGGCCCTTAACACCATTTGATTTTACTGAACACAAAATACAGGTCTTGGCTATTTTGGAATACCTTGTATGCAAAGATCCCTTAATTTATAGAAGCTAGTTCTGTTAAGCACAAAAATTTATTTAGAACAAATAAAACCAACTCAGTTTCTGACTCTGAAAGTTTATTCCACAAATCAAAATACCCCTCAAATGTTGTCTTTTCATAATTGTAATGGTGTTTTAACCACTTTGAGATTGTTCCAGAACTGTGGGCCACTGGACAATATTAAAACTGGGGAAGAAGAAAGAGTTTTAGATACTGCCTAGGTGGCAATTTAGAGTTAAACCACCTACGCATCTAGTTTGCCTTGGTACTGGGATTAAGTCCCATGAAATGAAAACTAGCATCTCTGTCTGCATGGCCTGGGATGGAGCCCTCTCTCCAGGGCTTCTGCCCTACCTCTTGAGGTCAACTGCCTGGAGCAGGGGAGTCAGCTCTGTCCAGCATCCAGGCTTAATTAGGGCCTCTGCACCTACCCGGAGGAATAAAAACCTTTTCTCCAAATCGCAGATTTCTTTTGATCACCTTTACTCTCAACACTCCAGAAGCCACACACCGACAAGAGGTTGTCCTGTACAAGCAGCTGAGGAAACATGCCGTCCTTGCTGGTAGAGGCTCTCTGCGACCCATGGATATCCTATCCTTCCCTTCCCCTAGTTCTGACACATCGACCAAGTGGTTGTTGAATGAGTCAGTGCATGAGTTCGTGACTGCAGGTGGCAAGACTTCTAAAGAGAAAACTGAAAGAAGGCACATGCCTTTGCTCACAGAATTGAGGCTCACTTTCCAAAATTGTAGCAAGATATAACTCAAACAAATGTGAACCGAGTTGGGAGCAACTCCAGTGAGAAATGCACCTTTCTGGGCCGGTCGAGCTCCCGGATACCATCGTCCAGCCCTTGAGCACAACTTGCCACGTAGCTCTTTGTGCCGGGTCTGCTTCTCTGCCCTTCTTGGCCCATGGCTCACACCCAGGGGTCTCTTCACACCTTTTCCCAGCCTTTTCGGTTTCAAATATTCCCATTATAGGACTGTTCCCAGAAGCAAACACCTGGCCTTACTGATCTCCGGGTTGCAAAAAGGAACAATACTACAAAGGAAGACAACCCCAAATGAGGCTCTGCGGTCCCCATCCCCAACAGCAGTCAGGAAAGACTTGGTTCCTTGTCCAGAAGCAACGCTCATCCCACACCCCAAAGGAACTGCTTAGTCCAAAAGACGGAGAAGATGAGCAACAGGGTGACGCTGAGGATGACAGCCATCAGGTAAGCAAAGATCCGGAACTGAGGGTTGCGGAAACACTCCCTCAGAGAGTAGTGGCTGGGGACGGGAATGGGCAGAGACCTGGGGGAAGGGCCTGCGTCCTGGGGGGGCCCAGTTTGGCCCCCGGGCTCAGGGCCTAGGTCCAGCGTGTAAACCCGGGGCTGGCGCAGGAAGTAGCGGCTCTTAGGCTGGTCCTTGAGACAGAGCTGGTGGCCTTCCAGGATGACATGGTGGGGCTCCAGGCGAAGCAGGGTGAGCACGGCAGTATCCGTGGGCAAGTCCGTGACAGGCTGCCCAGAGGCCAGCACCGTGGGCTGGCGACAGAGGGGGCAGAGCAACCGGCGCCGGGCTGGAGTCACCAGGCTGAGGTGGGCCAGGCATTCCACGCAGAAGGAGTGACAACAGTCCAGCACTTTGGGGGTGTGGAACGTGTTGTTGAAGGGGTTCCAGCAGACAGGGCACTCGGGCTCCCGGCCCTGCTGCTCGGCCATCCTCAGATCGGACACCGCGAGGCCTAGTAGGAATGTCCTGGCAGAAAGGGCAAAGGAGCAAAGGGACACCCATTGAGCCCCATCCTTGTGCCTGGCCCTAGGCAAGGAGTCTGTGTGCTGTTGAAAGATACTGTCACCCACATTTCACAGATGAAAAACTCAGCAATTTGTTCCAGACCACCCAGTTCCTAAGCTGCAAAGTCCGGGGCTCCTGCAGCATGCCTTCTATCAGGGCAAAGGCCTGAGCCACCCCACTGTTAACAAGCTGCCCCTGGAGGAGACTGCACCCTGGCTCTGGACACGGATAAAGTATGCCTTGTGTTCCGTGTGATCACCCTTGGCTCCTCAGACTCCAGGAAGAGGGAGGGGAACCAGTCAGTGGTTTGTGTTACAGGGCAGATACTTCCTTCCCTGCGGCCTCAAATCCCTGACTCGTGCGTGCAGAGATGGCCTTTGTGAATCCCCCGGTCTGTCCCTCTGGGGACAAATGCCAGGCCCTCTTTCCCTCCTCCCACTGGGCTATCGGGCCAACCCTCCAGAGCCCATTTGCCCAGTCTGCGCAGGGCACTGCACTGGCCCGGAAGGGGGGCCCTGGCAAGGCTTTTCCCCTTGACCTGGAAGCTTAGAGACACCCAGGTCCCCAGATCAGCCCTTCCAGAGCCTCCTCCCAATACTTGGTCTCTCCTGGCTCCTCCTCCCTCCCTCTGTCCGGGGAAACCCCAGGGCACCCACCTGGGCTTCCTTGGCACTAGGTCGGGCAGACTACCTGAAGGACCTGAGGCTCCGGTGTCTCCCTCTCCTGAATCCACAAAGCTTCGGGAGACGGCCTTCCCTCCACCAGCCGCCAACCCCCGGGCCCGTCTCCATGGCAGCACACACAGCACCTGGAGCTGCCAGGGGGCCCGGGCTGCGGCCTCCTGAGCACACCTGCCCTCGGCAAAGGCCACGGAGCCGCCTGGGTGGTGGAGTGGGGAGGTGGGGGACCAGAGTTCCCCCAGGGCGTGGCAAACAGTCAACCCTGGAAGCCAAGCGTCTGCAAGATTGTGGGCGGTCTCTTCAAGACCTGGGATCCAAGACCTGGGAAGGGAAGGGTGGCAATTTCCTTTTTCTAGATTGTGGAGGGGGTAAGTGAGCCTCTGGGCTGCTTCTCTCCCGGGCCCCCATTTCTTTCCTAAAGTGGCCAAAGCCTCCTCCACACACAAGGGGCTGCCTCCCCTGTCCTTTGGCTGCTACGATGTTCACCTGCTACACAGTCTAAAATCTCTGCACATCCTCTCTGGTCCCCTTCTGATCATTTTTTTTTTTTTAAGTTTTTTGTTTTTGTTTTGTTTTAAGTAATCTCTACACCCAATGTGAGGTTCAAACTCACAACCTGAGATCAAGAGTCGTGTGCGCCTCCTCCTGAGCCAGCCAGGTGCCCCCTTTCTTTTCTTTTTTTTTTTTTTTTAATGTTTATTTATTTTTGAGAGAGCATGCACCAGCAAGGGAGAGGCAGAGAGCAGAGACAGAGGGACAGAGGATCCAAAGGGGATTCTGTGCTGACAGCAGTGAGCCCAATGTGGGGCTTGAACTCGAACCGTGAGATCATGACCCGAGCTGAAGTCGGACACCTGACCGACTGAGCCACTCATGCACCCCAAGATGCCCCCTTTGCTGATCATTTAATGTGCCAGGTAGCTGCAACCATGCAAGTCTTGCTGCCATCTTTGTTCTTAGAACACAGACAACCAGCCTGGCAGGCAATGACCGCTGAGATCTTAGAGTCCAAAGGTCAGCCATCTCTCCACCCTTGGGGACTTAAAAGGGGGAGCCAGGAAGGAGGACAGTTCCAGCCCCGCTTCCCCATTTCAACCAGAAACACCTGGCTTTTCCCATATTGATCGCTTGAATAAGCTGAGTGGAGCTGCTGAGGGGAAGAAAAAGTTTAAGAACCATTTCTCCATCCTAACCACTCACTTTGCAGACGGGAAGCAAGAAGTGACTCTCACCCAAGGTCTCCCAGTGGTGACACTAGAGCTTCCATCTCACCACTATGCTGCTGCTTAAAGACAACACTTGTCCATCAGTTCACCTGCCGGGTGCGTGTTGTTAACTACATGGTAAGTGTTTGCATCTGGCCCGGGGATTCCTCGCATCAGGAGTCTCTCGTGGCAATCCGAGAACCACGCACGAGGCTTGGGGGAACCAAGTCTCCCTTGTGCGCCTCACATGACACCATCTGCCCTGAGTTGAGACCTGAAGCAAAACCTGCTTACACTCTCTTGTCCATAGCTTCCTACTGTTCTCTCTTCTGTCACTGCTCCGCGTAGGGAAGAGGAAACAAAGGTATGCAGATGGGGGGTGGAATAGCCCTGGCCGAAGCCGGGAGAGTTTACCAAGGATAATGCCTTCCCCTGTGGACCATTCATCCATTCTACAGTTACTAAGTCATTTAATGTTTATTTCATTTTTGAGAGAGAGAGAGCGCAGGTGGGGGAGGTGCAGAGAGGGAGGAGGACAGAGGATCTGAAGCCGGCCCTGCACTGACAGCAGAGAGCCTGATGTGGGGCCCGAACTCACGAATCACGAGATCATGACCTGAACTGAAGTGGGGGGCTTAACTGACTGAGCCACCCAGGCGCCCCTACAGTTAAGTTATTGAGCCCTCACTGCTCGTGCCCCAGAGCTGGGCACTGGGGAAATGATGAATGAAAGAGGCGTGGCTTTGACCTCAGGGCATTTAGAGTGTTAGGAGGGAAAAAGCTGACTAATGAGTAGTGGGCAATGACTAAACCTACCATTTTACTGCACGCTATAAAGGACAGAAAGGAAAATGGGTTTAGGGAACAGGCTCCCTAGGAAACCACCGGGGGAAGGTTTCTTCAAAGAGGTGGTATGAAAGCTGAGTCTGAAGGACAAGAAACCAGCCGCGCAGCGGGGAGGAAGAACACTCCGGGGCCATGGGAACAATGAGTACAAAGCCCCAAGGTGAGAAAAGCCTCAGCCAGATTCAGGAAGTGAAAGGAGGTGGCTGAGTGTAGTGGGTGGAGCTGGAGCAGGAAAATGGCTCAGGATAAGCCAGAGGGAAAGCCGCAGGCCCTGGGGAGCTAATCTGGATTTTGTTTGGAGGGATGGGGGAGGGGGGGTTCATCCTATTTCCATTTTATTTTGTTATTTTTTTTCCAATTTCCATTTTAAAATCACTGTTGCAGGGGTGCCTGGCTGGCTCGGTCAGTAGAAGGTCGATTTCAGGGTTGTGGATTTGGGCTCCATGTTGGGTGTAAAAGTTGCTTAAAAATATTTTTAAAAATAAGGGGCGCCTGGCTGGCTCAGTCGGTGGGCGGCCGACTACAGCTCAGGTCATGATCTCACGGTCTATGAGTTCGAGCCCCACATCGGGCTCTGTGCTGACAGCTCAGAGCCTGGAGCCTGTTTCCGATTCTGTGTCTCCCTCTCTCTCTGCCCCTTCCCTGCTTGCTGTCTCTCTCTCTAAAAAAAATAAATGAGAAGAAGAAGAAAAAAAAACAGCATTCCAGCTGCAGAGCAGACAACAGACTGAAAAGGACAGAGTAGAAATGCAAGACCATGAGGGACTTTATCACCAGGCTGGGGTGGTGGCACTTGATGTAGGCCAGGCCATGGCAGAGAAGGTCAAAGGGATGAAGGAAGAACTATCTGTGGAGATGAAATCAAAGGCACTTTCCAAAAAGCAGCGGACAGCGTAGATTCTGGAACCATGTTGTTCAGGCTCATGACTCCAGATGTGCTGCTTATTAGGGCTGTGATCCCAGTTGAATTGCTTCACCTGTGTCTCAATATCTTTTTTTTTTTTAATGTTTATTTATTTTAGAAAGAGAGAGAGAGCACAAGCGAGGTAGGGGCAGAGAGAGAGAGAATGAAAGAGAATCCCGAGCAGGCTCCACGCTGTCAGCGCAGAGCCCCAGTCAGGGCTCGAACTCCCAAACCAAAAGATCATGACCTGAGCCAAGATCAAGAGTCAGCTGCTTAGCCGACTGCACTACCCAGGTGCCCCCTCAATGTCTTCTTCGGAAAAGGAGGCTGAAAGTAGTACGTCAGAAGAGAAGGCTCTTAGAGCCTGGCGTCCGGCAAAGACTATGTATGAGGCGGTTGGCATTATCCCTGCAAATGGATTTGAGAGAAAGGTCAAGCCTCGCCATGAAAAAGGTTCTGTGTTGAGCTTTGAGGGGCTCCGAATTCCAGAGTGTGTATGAAGAAGACCTTTAGTACTTATCAAAGCCTTAAAATGTACATGGCCTTTGGGGCACCTGGGTGGCTCAGTCAGTTAAGCGTCTGACTTTGGCTCAAGTCATGATCTTGCGGTTCGTGAGTTCAAGCTCCCTGTTGGGCTCTGTGCTCACAGCTCAGAGCCTGGAGCCTGCTTCAGATTCTGTGTCTCCCTCTCTCTCTCTGCCCCTCCCCAGCTTGTGCTCTGTCTCTCTCTCTCTCTCTCTGTCTCTCTCTCTCTCAATAATAAAAAAAGAAGGTACATGGCCTTGATTCAGAAGTTACCCCACTGGGCATCTGTCCCATGGACATAATCAAGGACTTCTGCTAAGGCTTGACTGTAGAGATGCCCATAGAAGCACAGCTCTAACAGCCTAGTATGGAAAACTGCTTACTCATTCAATAGTGGGACGTCAATTAAAGATATTCTGCTCTATCCCCGTGAAGAGACACTTTGCAGCCTTTAAAATGATGTCATAAAACATCTATTAATGTGGAAATGTTTGTGATGCCATTAAGCAAAAAGAAACAGTAATAAAACCCTATCATGACCGTATATCCAATATATGTATGCAGTGGAAGAATTGTCTGGAAAAACAAACACCAAATGTCAACAATGGTTATCTCTGGGAGTAAGATTATAGGTGTTTTTTTGGTTTGTCTTAAATTCTCTCATCTGAGGGGCATCTGGGTGGCTCAGTCGGTTAAGCGGCTGACTTCTGCTCAGGTCATGATCTCGTGGTTCATGCTGTCAGCTCAGAGCCTGGATCCTGCTCTGGATTCTGTGTCTCCCTCTCTCTCGACCCCTCCCCCATTTACATTCTCTCTCTCTCTCTCTCTTTCAAAAATAAACATTAAAAAAAATTTTTTTAATTCATCTGAAAATTCTTTTTTTTTTTGAGAGGGAGCAACTGAGGGAGGGGCAGAGAGAGAGAGAGAGAGAGAGAGAGAGAGACAGAAATGCGGCTCACCTGGGGCTCGTGTTCGCCTGAAGCAGGGCACGAGCTCACCCGATGCGAGACTTGAACTCGCAGACTGTAAGGTCATGACCTGAGCTGAAGTCAGATGTTTAACTGAGCCACCCGGGCGCCCTCTTGTCTGAAAACTCTAACTTTATTACCACCCTTAACGATCTCTCCCGTGCCCCCAAAGCAGACCTACATTTTCTGAAGTTCCATGGCCAAAGCCGTAAGAGGCCATTCAAGAGTAGGAATGATTACTGTCGCATGAGCGCCTGGGCCCTTATCTGCCAGGGTTCCCTCAGACATCCACTGTTGTTCCAGGATCAGCAGGTCAGAGGCCAGCCTCTCTAGGACAGATTCCGGCCCTGTGTCGGTGTGTCCACCCCCAAGGCAGAACATCTCAGCTGCAGTAAGTCCTAGACAGCACCCCAAAGGCATCACCGTGGTCTGTGACCAAGTCAGCCAAATACTGCCTGTAGCGTCACCCCGAAGTTTTTGCCCTCAAGAGGAGAGAGTTCAGAACTAGCATTTTTACAGGACTTCACAGCTTATGAAGGGTCTCAGTCCTGGCTAGGATCTAAGTGTAGCAACTCACATCTCGATTTTATGATGGTCTTTTACAACTTTTTTCCATCTGATTAAGGCCATTGGATTCTTTAAAGCCACCCTGTGAAAGGAAGCAGGATCGGGAGTTGAAAGTGTATGGGCTTTGGAACCAGACTTATTTGCTGTGTGGTCTTAGGTAAATGGTTTATGCTCTCTGAGCTTCATTTTTCTTTGTAAAATAGGCTAATAATCCCACCTTTGAGGCTTGCCTTGTGAGAAAGGGATAATATCTATCATGTGCCCAGCAAAGCACAGCAGGGGCTCAGTATAGTTAGCATGATAGTTTTCTTTCTTCCTCCTTTCCTTCCTTCCTCCCTACCTCCTTTCCTTCCTTTTTTACTGTTTATTTATTTTTGAGAGAGAGACCATGCGCATGCACTCACGCTCGCATACGCACAGGGGAGGAGCAGAGGGAGAGAGAGAGAAGCTTCTTTTTTTTTTTTTTTTAACGTTTATTCATTTTTGAGAGACAGAGAACAGATGGTGAGCAGGGAAGGGACAGAGAGAGAGGGAGACAGACTCCAAAGCAGACTCCAGGCTCTGAGCCGTCAGCACAGAGCCCGACGCGGGGCTCGAACTCACAAACAGCGAGATCATGACCTGAGCCGAAGTCAGACACTCAACCAACTGAGCCACCCAGGCGCCCCGAGAGAGAGAGAGAATCTTAAGCAGGCTCCGCACCCAGAGCAGAGCCCGACTTGGGGCTCTATCTCGTGACTGTGAGGTCATGACCAGAGCTGAAATCAAGACTGGGACACTTAACTGACTGGGCCACCCAGGCGCCCCAAATTAGTACGATAGTTTTATACCCATTTTATAGGTAGGGACGCCAAGGCTCAGAATGTGAAGTGGCTTAAAAAAGAAAGAAAGAAAAAAAGAATGTCAAGTAGCTTAAGACTTCACAGCTGAAGAAGGGCTGAGCTTGAAAGATGGTCCCAGGAGCCCTTTCCTCCCAGGCCGCAGCGTTCACATTGGCCGACGGCACTGCCTCTCAGGGCTCTGGGACCCTGTGTCCCACCCGTCCCTCCATGCCCCTCTCTGGCTCCTTACCTGCTTTCTCAGAGTCCCCTCCGCCTCCTCCTCCTCCTGTCCCCAGTGTGGACCCTGCAGCATGTGCTCTGTGCTCTAACTTCTCTCGGCCTGGTTTCCAGGCAGTGGGGGGCGGGCCTCATTTGCATGGGTCTCTGGCAGCTCCTGACCAGGCTCTGGTTTTCGTCCTCCTTCTGATGACTTTGGACTGTCGGCGCTCACAGGGGACAGCCTGGGAGCTTTGGTTTTCTCTTCCGCCTGTGAGTCACTCTAGCTTTTTCTCTGAGGGGGTCAAAGTCCCTCACCCTTGCAGACCTCTGCTCTGTCTTGATTTCCTGCCACAACTGACTGTTCAGCCTTGACTCCTGCCCAACCTTACTTGGAGGGAAGGCAAGATATCTCTGAAGCCACTTGTCCCTCAGCCCAGATAACTACCTCCCCCGCCCTGAGCCCCTACAAACCGAAATACAAGGGGCTCTTGCAAAATATTAAGGAAAAGGCAAATCATCCAACAGAAAAACAATCAGGGGGCGATTATTTAAGCTAAACGTGAAGAGACTGCGTCAATCAAGTCAGAAATCTGGCTCAGGGTCAAGTCCTTGCTCAGAATCCAGACTCTACTCACTAGCAGTTGAGACGAGCAAACAGTCTTCTCTAAGCCTCGTTTTGTCACCTGTAAATGGGCATCATAATTTTACCTGCTTGATCTGCAGATTACATGAAATATCACTTGGAGGGTTCACAGCACACAGGAAATGTTAACTACGGCTCTTATGCCGATAGGATCTGGAAGATCGCTGAAGGGAAACACGACGGGATACGCACATAACTGCTCAACCTCATTTATAATTAGAGAAACTCAAATTTAAATAAGACACTGATTTGGGGAGCGCCTGGGTGGCTCGGTCAGGTAAGCACCCGACTCTTGGTTCCAGCTCAGGTCATGATCTCATGGTTCACAAGCTCAAGCCCCACATTGGACTCCGTGCTGACAGCAAAGAGCCTGCTTGGGGTTCCCTCTCTCTCTGCCCCTCCCCTGCTCATGCCTTCTCTCTCTCTCAGAATAAATACATCAACTTAAAAAAAGGACACTGGTTTTTTAAAGGGACTCAGTTTAAGATTTGTCAGTCTACTAGGGGAAAAAAAAACCCGCCACTATTATTAAAAGTAATAATGGTAGTTTTCTGGGTGTTTTACTGAACGCTGTGATCTGTGACGGCGAATGCCCCCAGCAATCCCAGGGAGCACAGTGCCTGGCGATACAGGACACAGAAAAATCCGTGACTCTTCCTTATTCTTCTGCAGATAAGGAATCTGCAGCTCAAAGCAAGGAAGGGATTTATTTGCCCAAGGTCTCATGAGAACCACTTAACAGCTGGGCCTGTAAATGTGGCTCTGAAATCTGTGCCCTTGCCTTACCCTCTCCTCAGTGTAAGACGCCTTTTCTGGCCCCCTCACGGTCTGTGTACTCAGACTCTTCTAACTTTATTCCTTTACTGACCTTTTCCATAGGCTTTGGAGGATAAACAAATAAATGTCTTTTTCAAAATTTTTCATAATGTTTATTTTTGAGAGAGAGAGAGAGAGAGAAAGAGCGAGGGAAACAGAGGATCTGAAGTGGGCTCCATGCTGACAGCAGAGAGCCCAATGTGGGGCTTGAACTCACGAACCACGAGACCATGACCTGAGCCTGAAGTCAGATGCTTAAGCGACTGAGCTACGCAGACACCCCTGAATAAATGTCTTTGGTTGGCATTGTAATCAATTGTCCTGGTTTCATCATTTTCTGTTTCTAAAATTATTTTTAGAATAGGTAACATATTCATGTGAAAGATTTGATTTTGTGGTGAAAATGTTGTGTTCTTCTCCCAGCCACCTCAATGCCCCGAAAATTAAGGTTATTTAACAAAAAAAATTTTTTTTCAGTTTATTTATTTATTTTGAGAGCGAGCAGGGGAAGGGCAGAGACAGGGGGAGTGAGAATCCCAAGCAGGCTCCATGCTGTCAGCAAAGAGCCTGACGCAGGCCAGAACCCACGAACCGTGAGATCATGTCCTGAGCCGAAATCAACAGTCAGACAGTTAACCGACTGAGCCACCAAGGTGCCCTTGAAGATTAAGGTATTGTACTGTCAGTTTCTTTTGCATCTTCCCAAAGAAATTTTATGGCTGCACAAACAAAACTCCTTTGGTAAAACGTCTACGTGTCTCTTTTCCTCCTCTTTACGCAAATGTGCACATGGCATACACCGTTCTGCACCTTGCCTTTTTCACTTAACAGTGCACCTGAAATATTATTCTGGATTAGTACCTAAAAAGGTTGTTTTCAGTTATGTAATGGTTGCATCGTATTTTATTGAATGAGGCATAAATTACCCAACCATTCCCCTACTGATCTAATCCCTTCATTTTAAATATATAAATATTAGCTGGAGGGGCACCTGGGTGGCTCAGTCTGTTCAGCGGCTGACTTCGGCTCAGGTCATGATCTCACAGTTCGTGGGTTCAAGCCCCACATCGGGCACTGTGCCAACAACTCAGAACCTGGAACCTGCTTCGGACTCTGTCTCCCTCTCTCTGCCCCTCCCCTGCTTGCGCTCACTCACTCTCTCTCTCAAAAATAATAAACATTAAAAAATATATATTAGCTGGAAAAATAAATGCCAAAATGTGGGATTTAGATTAGCCTAGAATTGTGTGAAATTAAAGCTGTGGACTCCAGAAAGTTGCCAATCCCTAGGGAAGATCTCTAAGAAATTTTCCTCTTTCTGAGCTGGAGACAGAGGGAACTCAGGTGTGCCTGGAAGGCCTGAGGTCCCTGTCAGCTCTACAATTCCCTGCTTTTAAATTTCACTGCTGGTTAACCAAGGTTAATGGAGATTCAAGACACTGATTCAGCCCAAAGGATCTGCATTGTGTTTGACAGTTTGGAAGCTATGCTTTCTGGTTTGGCAGCATTCGTGCAAACCATGAAGAAGTTCGTACGCTTTGACCTAATAATATAATTCCTCGGATGTGCCCAAAAGACATATGTGACATGGAGATTTATAACATGAAATTTATAACATGAAATAACATGACATGGAGATTTATAACATGATTTATACATTTGATCCTTCTATTCCTGGCACAGAGTTCTAAATCCCTTGGAATTTCCTAAGTGATGGGAACACTAAACATGTCTTTTGTTATGTGAATGAGAAAACTTTTGGAAAGCGCCCAGGCAACCTAAAGGTGGCTCATTGCCAGGGCAACCAACCTTGTAATCTTGGGGTTGGAACTTTCATTCCAGCCTGGACACCCACCCCCTGGGAGAGGAGAGGGGCTAGAGATGGAATTCAATTGCCAGTGGCCATGATTTAGTCAAACATTGCTCTAGTGAGGCCCCCATAAATCCCCTAAAGGATGGGGTTCAGAGAGCTTCTGGACTGATGAACACAGGGCAGTGCCGGGACAGGGCGGAGAGGCTACATGCCCCGTCCCACATGGCCTGCCTGCCCAATGCGCCTCTTCCATCCGGCTGTTCATCTGCAGCTTTTATAGAGATAAAAGCCACAGGCCTTTACATACCTTCTATAATAAGCCCATAAGGATAAGCGGATGCTTCTCTGAGTTCTGCGAGCCACATTAGCAAATTAACCAAACCCGAGGTCGTGGGAACCTCCGATCTATCTGTAGCCAGTTGATCAGAAGCCTGGGTGATGAGCTGGACTTATAGTTGGTTTTCTGAAGTGTGTGTGGTAATGGTGGGGACAATCTTGCGGGAGCGAGCCCTTCACTGTGGGAGCTGACGCGATCTCCAGCTAGGTAGTGTTACAATTGAGCTGACCTGTGGGACATCCAGCCGGTGTCTGAGAACTGCTTGGTGGTGGCGAAATATACACATGCGTTGGAATTAGTGTCACAATCAGAATATGCCTGTGTCTTTTGGTTAAGTGAGGATGTTCATCGAAGTTTTAAGTTAAAAAAAAAAAAAAGATTGAAAGAAATATAAAAGCCCAACTATAGGGGCGCCTGGATGGCTCGGTCGGTTGAGCGGCCGACTTCGGCTCAGGTCATGATCTGACGGTTCCTGAGTTTGAGTCCCACGTCGGGCTCTGTGCTGACAGCTCAGAGCCTGGAGCCTGCTTTGGAGTCTATGTCTCCCTCTCTCTCTCTGCCCTTACCCATTCGTGCTCTGTCTCTCAAAACTGAATGAACGTTAAAAAAAAAAAAAAAAAAAGCCCAACTATAGCACATCAGTTGAGTAGAAAACTACTTTATCACTTAAAATGATGTTGTAGAAAAATTATTACTTGTGAAAATGGTCACGACATGTCGTAAATGGAGGCAGGAAGGCAGTTTACAAAATGGTGTGTGTAGTGTGAGCTAGATTGTGTAAAACAAACTATACATAAAGACTGAAAGAGGGGCGCCTGGGTGGCTCAGTCAGTTAAGCATCCGACTTTAGCTCAGGTCATGATCTCGCGGTCTGTGAGTTTGAGCCCTGCGTCAGGCTCTGTGCTGACAGCTCAGAGCCTGGAGCCTGTTTCAGATTCTGTGTCTCCCTCTCTCTCTGACCCTCCCCCGTTCATGCTGTCTCTCCCTGTCTCAAAAATAAATAAGCATTAAAAAAAAAAAAAAAAAAAAGACTGAAAGACCGTGAGGCAAAATGTTGTATCTCTCGGTGATAAGCTCGCTGGCGGTTTCATTTTCTTTTCATTTATATTATTCTAAGTTTTTATCAGTGAATATGTATTCCTTTCATAACAGGAGAATTCACTTGGAAAATCAGTCAGCCAGGGTTTTCTGCAGCCAGGAAATCCAGAACTTATAAAGAAAAACAGGGAGGGCATGTAAGTAATCAGTCACGGCATTGCAAGCATTGAAATAAAAATAAAATAAACCAGGGTCCTTTTCCGGGTCACTGATTGTCTAGTGAGCAAATGCATTACCACAATGTCTCCAGGTGGTCAAGGCTAGGGAGTACTTTGCAAACAGTGGAAAGTTTTTTCGGGAAGATACCCAGGAGAGAGCGAGGCATCTGAGGAATCTGAATTGAACTGATTTAGTTCATGCTTGGGGGGGTGAGGTCAGCCAACCAGAAAAGCACCTCATCTAAGCAGTATCTTGGAACCGGATGAGTGAAGAGTCATGAGACTTGGTGCGGTCCAGCCAAGGTCGGCAGTGGAGGCGCAGGGTGGCATGGCTCCATCTGGGGAGGAAGAGGCAGCAGAAGGCAGTAGAAGGGCAGGGGAGGGTGGAGAAAAGGCGGTAACGAGGCAGGTTTTGGCCAGGTGAAGAGGGGTCGTGTTTAGTGAGGGCAGGGCCACCTCTCTCCATGGGGCACTACATTATCATCACTCAGAGTCTTGCCTCAGATCTGTCCAGAGTTTGGGACGGTCCCAGCGGGAAGGCATCACCCGGAGATTGTCCAAAATGCAGAGCTCAGGCCGACTCCAGACCTGCTGTCATAATTTGCCTTTTTACAAGACCCTTAGGAGATTCAGAAACATGCTAAAGTATGAAGAGTACTGATTGAGGACAAATATCCCCAATAGATGCTCCTTGGCTCTTCCTGATCACATTCATGATCCATTACATTCAGATACCTGAAGACTTCCCAAGGACATGATCCCAAGGATATATCGTGGACGGGGCTAGGTGAATCCCCACCTGGGAGCCGGCACGCCCCATCCCTGCCTCAGGCAGCATCTCAACTTGTTTTTACAAGGTCACAATCCCTTATACAAAACCCTTGGAGCCAGATGTGCTTCCGAATCCGGAACTTTTCCTATTTTAGGACAATGATATGGCATATTTATGGATATATTAAGTAACTCTCCCAGTGGGATCTGACACAGCACCCTGGGATCAGATGCTTTAATATTCTGCAGTTGATGATACCAAAAAGAAGAAACAGGATAGGGCCAGGTCAATTTTGGTGCCAAATTTAATGAAAAAAAATGTTGTCTTCAGAGTGCAGGGATTTTGGAGTTGTGGATAAGGGTTGTGAACTATTTTCTTATTTTCTTTTTAGCATGTGTCAGATGGTTAGAAATGCTGAATGGGACCACTTCCCGGTATTAGCTAACCTCGGACTTAGTAGGAACTCCAAAATCTAGCTATTGTTTCAAATATAAAGTAGTTCATACACTTCTCATCAAGCAGGTCACATCCAGTGTTGTTATTCCCGGAATCCACAGGGTTCTGTGAAGAGCAGTTGGATTTGGGGGCACCTGGATGGCTCAGTCAGTTAAACATCCAGCTTCCACTCAGGTCATGATCTTGTGGTTCGTGAGTTCAAGCCCCGCATGGGGCTCTTGCTGCCGTCAGCGCAGAGCCCGCTTTGGATCCTCTGTCTCCCTTTCTCTCTGCCCCTTCTCTGGCCCCTCCCCTGCTCTCTCTCAAAAATAAATAAAACATGAAACAAAAAATGAGTGAAATGAAGAGTTGATCCCAGCTACCATTAACGTGACATGTCGGAGCTGCCGCTGGAACTCGAACTCGGGGCCTCCACGTCCTGGCCCTGTGCCTCCCTTCCCCTGCTTTCCCCGGCAGACTGCGCATGAGCTCTTGGCCAGCCTCCCCGCCTCAGTCCCCAAGCAGAGAACAGTCTCCAGCTGAAGGATGAGGAATAACAGGCCTCCCACATGTGCCTCCTGGTATGTGTAGGAACACGGAACTGAGATCGGACGGTTCTCTGTCCACCTGCGCTGTGAAGGAAGCATCTCATCTTTCCATCCCCCAGATGTTCAGCCCCGTCGGGGTGCGTGGTGGAAATTAGCCCTCAGAAAGTCCTTGGGTCAGTTAGTCCAAGCACATTGAGTCCTCACACTTATTCTGAAGCCTTCCTCCAGGTAAGTCCTGCCAGGAGGACAGTGCCAAGGAGCTGGCTGGAGGCTGTTTGTACCAGGAAAGTCCAAGGAGTTCCCGGGAAAGTCTCCAAGGCCTTCTCCGAGTGCCAGGAGAGACGCTCCTGGGTCAGGGCCCCTTTTGCTCTGAGGATGCTCCGCTGATAACACTGGCAAAGGGACCCTTTCGGAGGCTCGAGATCGGGAAGCCGGATGTCTGCCTCCTCCCTGCGTCTGCAGGCATCCTCGCCGCTCCTCCTGGGGCCCCGCGGTCTCTCACTTTTCTCTGCGGCCCCTCTCCCTCATCTGTGGTACAATCTGTATCCGTGTTGTTCCCCTTCTTTTGCGGGAGTTTATCTTTTAACTCTGTAGTAAGTGTCCAATGCAGAAAAACCTAGAAACTCGCATGAATGTAATAATCCTGACACTTAGGAATAATGCTAGGTGCTCTTCTAGGGGCTCTGCCTGAATCGTGTACCGATCCTGACGACAGCTCTGTGGGGATCGATGCTATTACTGTATCATTTCCGTTACACGGATGAAGGCACAAGGCACGGAAAAACTAAGTCACTTGCCCAAATTTGCCAGGAAAAGAAGCGGCAGCCTGGGATTTGAACCAGGCGGCCTGGTGTCGGGAGTCCACACCCTTAACTGCCACGACCACCACGCCTCTTTATAAGGATTTCAAATGTGATTTTTAAAACTATTATAAAGATATGTGATACTCGATGAACTGTTTTGTAGCCTTTCTCTCACTTATCTTTCTACATCACAAAATACTCTTCTAAACCTTTTCTTCAGAATGAAAGTAGTCTTGTTTTTGATTGTAAAAGCAATAAAGGAAATAGATTGATGTGTCTCCTTGTACATGCACTGTCTCTGCAAGGACACACAAGATGCTGGTAATAGGCAGACATGGATGAGAGGGAGCCGGTTTATCCTATAAACTTTTAAACGTCCAACCCTTGATCTTGGCTCAGGTCATTATCTCACGGTTGTGAGATCAAGCCTTGCATTGAGCCCTGGGCCAGGCTGAATATGGAGCTGCTTAAGATTCTCTCTCTCCCTCCCTCTCTCTCTGCCCCACCCTTCAAAAAAAATAATGAAACTGATTTATCCTCATTGCAAAACAAAAACAAAAACAACCAAACAATATAGTAAGGCATAAAGCAGAAAATAAATTCATCTTTAAACTCAATACCCAGAGATAACACCGATACATTAAAAAAAAATTTTTTTTTAATGTTTATTTATTTTTGAGAGAAAGACAGAGCACAAGTGGTGGAAGGGGCAGAGAGAGAGAGAGAAACACAGGATCCAAAGCAGGCTCCAGGCTCTGAGCTGTCAGGCCAGAGCCCGACACCGGGCTTGAACTCACGAACCGCGAGACCATGAGCTGAGCCGAAGTCAGACGCTCAACCGACTGAGCCACCCAAGCGCCCCTACACCGGTACATTTTTACTCCATTTCTTCCAGACCTTTATCTATGAATGTACAGACATGTACAGATTTATTTTTACCCAAATGGGACGATGCTGTGTGGTGCTGTTTTGTTACCTGTGTTTTTCAGTTAGGGCAAATCATGGACAGCATTCCATGTAGCCTCATTTCAAATGTCCTCATGGTTGTTAGTTATGTGAAGTTGGCCAGTTTCCACAAGATTATTTCTGAATGAACCGAGAGAGCCAGTGTCTGGGCAAGCAGTGCTGGCTGCCACCAATTCCCATCACCCCAAAGCTGGGCTCTGCACTTTGATGCGTTCAGACCCTGGGGAGATAACCGCTGAGAAAGGATCAGACTTTCCTTCCGTTTGTGATGTTTAACTGACGTCATTTATTCCATAGGTCCAGACTCTTCCTACCTGCCCCCGTCCCTCGCCTTCAGGCCCACCACCACTGGGACACCACTGAAAGCAGTGGTGGCCAGGGCTCTGGCCGGAAGAACCAGTCCACAGGTCCGAAGACCCGAGTTGCCACGTGGGTTCTGCCACATGCTGTGTGCTCCTTGGCAAGTCATTTTTCTTCTCTGCAGAACGGAGGTAATATACTCCACACTGCCTGTCTCACAGTGTTATGTCATTGGAAGACTCAGGTGAAATTATGATTGTGAAAGTAGTATATGAAATATAGAGCACATACGTCTCTGTATTTGAGAAAATGAGGGAATCCTGGATTCCGGGATGTATTATAATTCTTCACGGAAGTACTGGTTACTAGAGTGTGTTTGGCTTATGGAGAATCAGCAAGCTATGAACGTAAGGCATCTGAAACTATTTATGATTGCTATGCTTGAATTAAAAGATAAAAAAATATATATAGTGGCTTGGAGGGGCAACTGGGTGGCTCAGTTGGTTAAGCGACCCACTCTTGATTTCGGCTCAGGTCACGATCTCACAGTTCGTGAGATTGAGACCCGTGTGGGGCTCTTCACTGACAGTGAGGGGCCTGCTTGGGATCCTCTCTCTCTCTCTCTCTGTCTCTCTCTCTGCCCCTCCCCCACTCTCTATAGCTCAAAATAAATAAATATTTCTTTAAGTTAAAAATATATATAGCAGCTTAAAAAGAATGAAGTTTTATTCTCTTTCATGTCACAGTCTAGCCGCTCAGGCTGGTGGAACAGCTCAGCATTTCAGGGTTATTCAGGGCTCCTTCTCTCCTGCTGTTCTGTCATCTTGTCCTCATCTGAATAGCTGAAGCTGTCCCTGGCGGTCTGCATTGCAGGGAGTGGGAAGGGACCCTGAGTGGTAACCCCAGACAAACACGTTCTTTTGGAGCTAATAAGGTAGAAGTTACACACATCACTTCCACTCACAATCCACCGACAAGCACTTGTTCTCATGGCCGTGCTAGCGGGGGATGTAGGCTTCGGAGGGTAGTCTGTGCCAAGAGGTGCCCACTCCAGGAAACATTAGCGGACTGCTGCATTTTTCAGGATGAAGCTTTTCTTTACTCATTCTATTTTCAAAAGGCTATCCAGAAATAGTGAAGCTCCTTTTTCACCAAGTGACCTGAGTTCCATACTTGTAATTCCTATGTCAAAATCAAGGCTGTTTCAGACTGAAAACATGTCTCTCGATACCAGTGTTGAAAACATTACATTTCTGCCAGGAAGTATTTCTTCAATGACGGTAAAACTCAGAACTGCTGGGGAATTTTCTTCAATAATCATTGTTCAAGAAGATAGTGATATTGGGGACTTGATACTTTTGTAATACCGATGATATCTAGTGTATCATAATACTTTAATAGCTGGTAGCTATTTTATTTTTTAATGTTTATTTTGAGAGGGGGGGTGCAGAGAGGGAGAGGGAGAGAGAGAAAATCCCAAACAGGCTCCAAGCTATCAGTGCAGAGCCCGTTGTGGGACTCAGTCTCACAAACTGAGAGATCATGACCTGGGCCCAAATCAAGAGTCGGATGCTTAGTCAACTGAGCCGTCTAGGTGCCTCTATTTCATTTTTAAATTTTTATTTATTTAAGTAATCTCTATACCCCACATGGGGCTCAAACTCATGACCCTGAGATCAAGAGTCACAGGCTCTTCCAATTGAGCCAGCCAGGCGCCCCAGCTGGTAGCTATTTTTTTAAAAATAATACTTTGAATACAAATTGGGACATAAATTCTATACATCCTAGATGCACTCAAAATGTATCTTTTCCAGATCATTTTAAAACTTTCGGTAAAAATAGGGGCGCCTGGGTGGCTCAGTCGGTGAAGCGTCCAGCTTCGGCTCAGGTCCTGATCTCACGGTTCGTGGGTTTGAGCCCCGTGTTGGGTTCTGTGTTGACAGCTCAGTGCCTGGAGCCTGCTTTAGATTCTGTGTCTCCCCGTTTCTCTCCCCCTTTCATGCTCATGCTCTGTCTCTCTCAAAAATAAATAAACATTAAAAAAAATTAAACTTTCAGTAAAAATAAAGATCATCTTGTAAGATAATTTCAGCCACCAAAAAAAAAAAATCTTTTAATAATCATGACTCATTTTTCCTGAAATAAGTATATTTTCAAAGATTTTTTAGTTAAAGTTTATTTGTTTGTTGTTTAGAGAGCGGGAGAGAGAGAATCCCAAGCTTTGTCAGTGCGGAGCCTGACGAGGGGCTCTGATTCATGAACCATGAGATCATTACTTGAGGCAAAACCAGGAGTCAGATGCTGAACCAGCTGAGCCACCCAGGTGCCTCTAAAGATTTTTTTTTTAATTTTTTAATGTTTTTTTTAACTTATTTTTTAGAGAGTGCAAGCGGGGGAGGGGTAGTGAGAGAGGCAGGTAGAGGATCAGAAGCAGGCTCTGTGCTGAGAGCAGTGAGCCCAATGTGGGGCTCGAACTCATGAACCGTGAGATCATGACCTGAGCTGAAATCGGACACTCAATCAACTGAGCCGTCCAGGCTCCCCAAAGATATTTTATTTGTAAATAATCTCTATATCAAATATGGGGCTCAAACTCACAACCTTCAGGTCAAGGTTCACACGTTCTACCGACTGAGACAGCCAGGCGCCCCTCGGAAATAAATATATTTAACTTATATAAGCAAATATATAAATTTCTTTACATTTTAAATATATAATTGGTCAGACTCCAAGGGATTATCTGCTTTTCTGGAAAAAAAGGTCAACTGTCTTTGGAAAATTTCTTTGCATGATTTTACAGGAGCAGCCTCTAAAATGAAGTGTTCAGTGAATGTCCAAAGAACAAATGAATGCATTGTCGTAGTGTGCATCAGCTGAGAGTACCTGAGTAGGGCATGTGAGACTAAAAACTCCTACACAAACATTTGCGTTTATCAATCTGCTTTCCACTTAAAATGCACAGATAAGAATTTTTTAAGTTGAGCAAATGCATAGAGCTCAGGGAAACAATTTTTTTTGCTAAGAGAACCCCGCTAATTCATCAGAGGCCTACGATTTCCTCACATGGACATCCCCTCTGGTCCTCTTCCCTGGGACCCCCTCCCAACCCACTCCCTTAGACTTCCTGACTTACCGCCCATCTTCTTCCCAGAAGAAAGGGTTAGCTGTAGCACTAGAAGTTCAGGATGCGCTAGGACCGTCCCCGAGACACCTGTGTACGGTTTCTGGGCACCTGACCAGGAGGGTCTCTTCGGAGCCAAAAAAGTTAGTAACTGGTCTAGAAAATACACACACAGTGTCAGAGTCTACGAATTTCTAAAATGAACTTTGTGACATCACGCAATGACAAAGGAGTGGGAAGGAAAGTATTCTGGCTTTGAGTTGGGCAGACCCTGGCTCAGATCTCCGTTCTTCTCTTTCCTCTCTCCGTGTGTCACCTCGGGCAAAGGACTGAATGTTCCCGGGCCTCAGCTTCCTCATCTGCGACACGGGAATAACACGATTTGTGGCGAGAATAAACGTATCCAGACAGCTGTGGGTGCTCAGTGAAATAGCTTCCTCTCCCGCTATCCCTTTGTCCTTCCAGACCTCAAAGATCCGTAACTTAAGGAGTCGAAGGGAAGCCACAAAAGGACTAAAGGTTTAGAAATAAGATCTAAGGAGAATGGGTGAAGGAATGGTAAATGTTTTGTGAGGAGAGGAGAGTGTTCGGTCCAGACAGAGAGCAATAATTAACTATGGTTATCCTTTATAAGCACCCGCTACCTTGCTTGGCATTTAATATAGTTTTGTTCAGTTCTCAGAACAGCACTGTCAGGAACGTGGGATTATTCGCTCCACATTATTGGTGAGGAAACTGCTATTTTATACACCCAAGTGCACCCAGCTAAATGGAGAAGTGGAGAGTCAAACTCAGGACTGACACTGCACTAGCTTAAGATCGTCCCATGGGGAAGCTGGCCCCAAAGAGGAACAGGAGGGAGACGAGGAAGATGGCTGTCATCTCTTGGTATCAGGGACAGGCAGGGGCCAGGGAAGACAAGTACAAAGGCTTTCTTTGGTTGGGACTCATCAGAAAGGGAATCCCCAGGCCTCTGTTGCCTTATGTGTGGACTCGCCTGATGGCAGGAGGGACTCTATCATCCGTGAAGGAAATGGGCTGGTGAGCACCAGGCTGGGGACAGATGTCTTGGGGGCCACACAGGCTGACCTGAGCACTGTGCCCCTCCTCACCCGGGAGGACTCACTAGCTAGCACACGGTTGAGTCCATCCCTCTGTTTTCTCTATGTTCTGTTGTTGTTGTAAACTCCCATTTGGCTCACGCGGGCCATCCCCAAGAGTTTATACAAAACTAACTAAAAATATTAAAATGTACAAATGAAATTTGTTGTAGCCTTAATCTTGGAACCTCTCCATTTTCTTTCTTTCTTTTTTTTAATGTTTATTTTTGAGAGAGAGAGAGAGAGAGAGAGCACGAGTGGGGAAGGGGCAGAGAGGGTAACACATCCAAGGTAGGCTCCAGGCTCTGAGCTGTCAGCACAGAGCCCGCCCGATTCAGGGCTCGAGCCCCCGAACTGTGAGATCATAACCTGAGCCACTCGGGCGCCCAGAACCTCCCCATTTTCTTATGCACAGGTTTGACAATTAGGATTCAAGGGCAAGGCCCTTGGGCTGTTGGCCTTTCCAAGCCACCTGGGGTCTAATTTTCATGCCACCTCAGCACCGGTCTAGGACATGCCTCCTTCCACTCTGCGGCTCCTCCGAGTAGAAGCCAAGACTTCTTTCTTGACCTAACTTTGGTTCTTCACCTTGCTGAGGAGCAGTGACTGGAGCTTAATCTCATGTCTACAATCCATTTCCGCTATGGAGCTGTGCTGTCCTTCCCCATCTGGATCACCGTGAGGCTGCCAGAGCGGTGTGCCTCCCCCCTGCATCTTCTTCTCTCGTGGAGACGCGGAACAGGCCAGTTCGACAGACTCGACCCTGTGTTCTGACTCAAAGAGGCCTATCACTCTTACACATGCAGGGCACCATTTGGAGCCATAAACTTGGTTTTTGAAGAGCGGTTCCTAAAGGTCACTGAAAACTGTGTTTGGATTTCACCTCGATGGAGAACTTTATGTTTAGTTCATGTTTCTAAACTGCACCTGGCCTTAAACTGGCTTCTAACCCTGATATGCCTTCTGAGTGGAACTAAGCGGAGAACCCTGGTCCCACATCACTGCCCACCCCTGCCCCCCGCAAGATCACAGGGAAGAACAAAGCCGCCACACTGAGAAAGGACAGGCCACGGTTTGAAAGTGAGTGTCTCTTGGCCTCAGAATGCTGCCACCTCCCGCAGTGCCAGCCCTTGGCTGTAGTCCACTCTGAGCAGGTGAATTCCTCGGCTGAAACTCGCACACAGCAAGGAGACAGTGTCGCCAACAGCCAGGGAAGTCAAAGGTCCTGATCCGTCCAGGGACAAGGTGAACAGGCAGGCTGGGGGAGGAAGAGGGAACCAGCAGCTTAGGCCAAGAGCACGGCGTCATGGAACGCCGCGAGGTCTCTGAGAAAAACGCGGGTAAGTAAAGCGCGCGCTACCTGCATGGAACCCTGTAAGAGCAGCCCCCGCGCACCAGCGGGGAAGTCAACCCGGGGTCAACCACACGGCTTCAACTACACAGAACAGCACATGGACCAAACAAGATGTGTATCACTCGGAAGCACGTTCAGACAGTTGGGCCCTCACCTGCAAGGACATGTTAACACATTGCCCTCAATTACCACCTGCCCAGAGAGCAAGGCAGGGGCCAGGGCAGAGGAGAACAGATAAGGACGCTGATCTCCAGCTGCTGGCCTCTGGGGCCTTGCTCCCTTCAGGACAAAGGAAACTGGGACCCGAAGGGCAGTCTGAGGGCCTCCAGCTGACACAGTCTCCATCTTGGAGGCCGTAGGGGCACACCTGGTGGGCAGGGCAGCACTTTCAGACCTTGTTCTCCCTGGACACTGAATCCCAAAACAGCTGCACTGGGCAGCTCCGGGTGGGGCACAGCTGGGCTGTCCTCCCTTTGGGAGTTTGGCCCATGTGACCACTAGACATGATCTCACGTCTTTTCTCCAAGGGGGCTCCCTGTCCTCCCCTCCCAGGAGCTAAGTTTCTGGAAGATTACCATAAGAGGGATTTGTCGTGAGGTTTGCTAGGTTAATACCGTTCCCTGTGTCCGACGGAACCCTGTGTCCAGGACAAGAGAGTATGGGGGCACCTGGGTGGCTCAGTCAGGCGAATGTCCGGCTCTTGATTTTGGCTCAGGTCATGATCTTACTGTTCGGGAGATGGAGCCCCGCGTCAGGCTCTGGGCTGACAGCGTGGAGCCTGCTCGGGATTCTCTCTCTCTCTCCCTCTCTCTCTCTCTCTGCCCCTCCCCAACTTGTGCGCACTCACTCGCGTGTGCTCTCTCTCCCTCTCTGAAAAATAAGTGAACTTCAAAAAAAAAAATAGCACGGAGGCAGCGGGGTACTAGGAAGGCAGCTTTCTGGAAGGAAAGAACCCACCACCATCACTCACAGCATTTGCCAATTTTTGGGGTGTAAATACTCCCGCTATGACCGTATTAAACGTTCCTAAATATTTAGCAATCAGCCAGCAGGAGTGGGGTCTGACACACCACTTCACCGTGTTCCCTAAAACATCTTTCTCTCTGGTGCTTTGAAGTGTCATGACCTTGCTGCGACCTCAGACCTTAGCTGCAGCATCAAAACAAGGCAGAGACTTGTTTTTCTGAGACTGTCTTACTTTCTGAGACTATCTTACTCTACCACACCCCCGCCAAGAGCTGAGACTCTCATTTTAGTCCTTGAGAAAGGAATTTTAAAGTGGCAATCCTTGTTCTCCTTTCCAGACATTTTGAGCATCACATGTTAAAACCTGGTGAAGAACTTCAGATAGAAAGAATACTAAGAGCCAAATATAGTTGATCTCTCAGGAACAAGTCTATACAACATGGTACCGGGGCTCATGTGGTGATGGCTGCTAGCCAGAGGCTGAACAGAATCCTGGTCCTCCCGTAACCACTCGGGGCCTGGATAGTGGTAGGACACAAGTGGCTTTGTATTTGCTGAGCAATGGAAAGAGTTTCAAGGAAGCTTTTAGGACGCCACGAAGCTTTGAGAAACACCAACAGCAGGCTCCTTACCTCCAGTATCTTGGTTCCAAATCTTCACTTTGCAGTCATGTGATGAGGTGGCAATTGTAGGCATCAAGGCTAATGCTCTTGGTAGAAAGACACAGGATGTGACAGTCTGGAAATGCCCCTTGTATTCACATATTCTATTCCGCGTCTGCCGTAGGTCCCACAACTGCAGAGTAATGACATAGGCTAGCTCATACATGCATACCTTCCAGCTGCATATGTGCTTCAGTCACTGATTTCCATCGCCCCGCCTGCTCATGAGCCACCCATTCCTTCCACCTACCTACTCGCATTGCCACCCCCCATCTTCACATCCCATCCACACACCAAATCATCTATCCGTCTAGCAGTTATTTTAAACATCAACTATCGGGGCGCCTGGGTGGCTCAGTCAGTTGGGCGGCCGACTTCAGCTCAGGTCATGATCTCGTGGTCGGTGAGTTTGAGCCCCACGTCGGG